GCCCGTTTCCCCCGCCTTTTGGGGGATTAAACCGAATTATTTTTTTTTTTTTTTTTTTTTTTTCCCCCCCCCCCCCCCCCCCTTGCCGTCGCGTTTTAGACTGTGTTCGTGGATATTCTGGCCCCTGTACGAGTTGGTGTTCTCGTCTTTTATCTTATTTTATTTTGTTTTGTTTTTTTGACACTTTTATTTGCTTTGATTTTACCTCACATACATTGCGTGTAGAGGGGAGCGGAGTAGAGGGGAGCGAAGGGCTAAAAAATATTTTTGCTTCTGATTGTATTTTTCTCTTGTATTTTACCGCTCTGCTGATCCTTGGAGTCCATTTCATGTTGGTAAACCTTTTCTAGGTATGTTAACCTGTGACCACGGAAATTGACCGAGTCAAGTGTTGGATTAGTACGGAGAGATTCAGACATGAAGAGGTCCTGGATAGAGAGACCGGAATGCTTTTTCTTATGTGAAGAAAACAACAACAACAACAACAACATTCGTGTTGACTTGGAGGTTTGTGGTAGCAGCGTGTGATACGCATTCGCGATAAGAATGTCACGTTAGGCTTAGGAGATCTAACGGCTCAGTGGTTGGGCTTTGGTATTGATGTCTTGTGCGGGTGTGTGGGGAACAGGTGCTACATCTTCGATTGTGCCCAAATCGTTGCGAGCTTGCTTTGATGTGCAACAGCAGGGGGGCGGGCTGTTTGCATATTTTTGTTTTTCTATTTGATTCTTCACCAACGGCAGAAACTTCTCCAACGGTAGAAACACGGATGTTATGTAGGCGAGTGCGCTCCCTATCGTTTAGTGGATGTCGGATAGTATACTTGGAGGAAGGATCCGACGTGTCGTGGTGACTGTACTCGTGGTTGGTGCCCTTATATTTAGAGGTTTGTGTTGCTTGTATTTTGGGACATTAAAAGAACACCGTGTGTCATGCGATCTGCGATTACAGTCAGTGACTCTCAGAATGGAGGTGCATGAGATCATTGACTGGCTGTCGCAGATGTGTTTTATCATTATGTTCACAAGGAAGGGCGGTTTCTTTTGTGTTGGCGTACTGCATACAAGTATCGTTCTGCAAGACGCAACGCTGATGTAATGTTGAATCTTGTTGGATATTTTTCCAGGAATATTTCTGGTTTTTTGACGGATTGAGTTTTCTCAAGGGGGTAAGGTAAGTAGGCTTTGGCGTATGAGGTATATCTTTGATGGTATGTTTTTGTATGTTTCAAGTTGCCGTTCCTGGAACGGTACATGCATGTAATTCGCTTGGACGACAGTACCTTTATCCTTGCAGGGGGCTGTTTGTGGTACTTGGGTGAAGATACTGGTCTGGATGGATTTTGGGGATACGCAGTTGGGGTAGTGGTATGACCATCTGGTATTGCAGGGACCCTTTCACCCTCCCAGAGACCACAACAAAAACACGAGAGCAAAAACAACTTCAAGGGGCGCCTTCGGAGATTGTCGGCAGCGCGCGGAGCATTAGCCCTAGCGCCAGCGCACAAGCAAAACTTTCATCAAAGGACACGCAGTCAACCCTATGTTCATGTAACGTCACTTGCGTAAAGGTGGCGAAAGTCACGCACGTGATATGTACCGTGCAGTGATCATGCGCTTTAATGAAAGTGAAGGAATTGTTCGTCACTTGTCTTCACTTTCGTAAAAGTGACGAAAGTCACGCACGTGATAGCATCGTGGACTTTTATAAAAGTGACGTGCAAGTCATATTCATAAAAGTATCATTCACTTTCATACCATGAAATGACTCTAGTAATATGGATTTGACTGTTGTAGGAGTGACTGTGAAAGTGAGTGTGGCTTTCACTTTCATTGTGGGAGGGAGTGACGTTAACAACAGTCAATAATACTTTTATACAAGCGACCATCACTTTTATACAAGTGACGTCACTCCTATGAAAGTGATAGCCGCTGTTATAAGAGTGCTTCTCACCGTTGTAAGAGTGACAGTTCACTGTTATAAGAGTGACATTCACTGTAATAACAGTGAATTTCACTGTTATAACAGTGAATCCATTTACACGATAATATGGGAACCTCGTAGCGAGCCAAGCTTTGACAAATAAATGTAGATTGATCGTTGTTGTTGTGGTATGCCACAACTTTAGACTTAACTTGCTCTGTTTTGAGCTTGAAAATGCGCGCAAATCTCACGGCATCATCAATTGCTGCAAGTGCTGCAAGGTTGTAGGCATATGTCTTCTGCAATACTGTGAACACTGCTGCTGTTTTGTTGTACTGCTGTTGTTGTATTGAAGGTGCTGCTGTAGACTGCGATTCATCGTATGTATATATACAGAGATCAACTTTTTCGTGATATCACACCGTTTCATGGAATAATTGGTGGAGTCACAATAGTCGGAAGTTAGAATAATTGGTGGAAGTTTAGTCAGAAGATAACTATGCAGAGTGAATGAAAGAGTGCACATTTCATGGGATAACTGCTGGAGGTGTGCCAGAAGTTAGAATATCTGCTGGAAGTTAGTCAGAAGTTAGTCAATGCAGAATGAATGAAAGAGTGCACATACATCCCCCGGTCACTCACTTTTCGTCATCCTCTCCTCTCATTCCCGCGTCGACCTTCAGCTGCAACACAGCATGAACGCCCTCTCCCGTAGCTCCCCAGCAAAGCGTAAGTCCACTCAGTCAGAGAGTCGTAGTGGAGTGTACCGCCGCCCTGTACAACAGGGCGACCCCAACTGGCCTTGCCCCGGGCCCGACTGCGACGGCGGTCACCTCAAGCTCATAAACAAGCGCGACGGTAAAGGCAAGTTTGCCCTTTGCGACCGTACCAACAACCGCGACGCGGACAGTTGCAGCGTATCCTGCACCATCCCCACCCCGTCGACAACATACCACAAGCCGTGCCAGCTCTGCCTCGCCCCGATGGGAGGTACTCCTTCGCTCGGGATCCCAACCGACCAGGTCAACAGCCGCGGCTACAAAGGTAAAAGAAAGTTCTCTCTTTGATCGTATCAAGTAGTTTCCGACTGATGTGTGCCTGAGTGTTGTTCAGGTGCTGCATGAAGGCCTGACATGAAACTGCATCGCAACCGCAACCGCTAAATCTCTCCACAACAATGCCGTTTTTGCTTGCTGTTATTGTCAGAGTGGAATATTATCTACGCGGTGTGGTGTCTTTGCGCTGGTGCCAAGTCTTCGGACGGCAAGAAGTTCATGCACGTCACCGTCGCCCCCGCCAGCCTTATCGGGGTAAATCATGTGTACACCCGTTTACATCGGAACGTGATTGTGTAGTGAACAGTCGTGTGTGTGCGTAGATACCTAGATATGGGTGCGCGGATGCATCCGACTGTTGCTGTAAATTAGTTACCCATATGTCACAAAAGTACACCGTGTTGACCGGTCGACGTCATAAAAAAATTAGCGTTTTTCAGTATGGGGAGACCATGTGACATATGTTCCTTATATTTTCCCCGGTCAGTACACCGAGTTCAACCGTCGACGTCATAAATAAAAATATCATTTTTTAATAATCTAAAACCATGCGATTTTTTCTCCTAGTATTTTTCCCCGTCACCCATCCGATGTCCACTGCAAGGGTGTCCCGACGCAGCGACTAACGAGGAAGACCTGGCCGACGGGTGCACGGGCGAGATCGTCGAGGACGACCTGATCATCAAGGATTGAGACTCCCCGCCGCTGCACTGCCAGTGCGCCCGCCGCCTGTGGGACCAGACCATCAACGAGATCCTCAACAAGACCGACGAGCACCGCGAACTGGGAACTACTCACGACAAGGAGTCTTCCCAGCCCTCTACCACCGTCCCGGCCGCCCTCGCCGCCCTCCAAAGTAAGACGCGTGTTTCCATTTCAGAAAAAAGTAAACGTCTCAAGTTATTCAAGCCACATTGTTGCCACCTTCAACTGGCTTTCGCCAACTATCAATTGAGTAGAGATATCACCCCATGTCTGACAGTCCTCGACGTCGGCCGACGCCAATTCATCGGGTAACTCGTTCAGCAGCCGCATCTCAAATATCGCCAAACACGATCACATGCTGCACGTCACAATTCACACCAAAGTTCTACACCCAGCCAGAGTAACACTCCCTCAAGGAACGAACCTACAAACAACTCCAACTCGACGACCACCTTCAGCTCGTCTAAATACCCAACGAAGATCGCTCACCCAACCACGAACGACGCCTGAAACTCGAACACCACAAACCTGTCTGGAAAACGCGCAACACGTAGAACTAGCAAGATCTCGCAGAGGAAGACGTGCTGAAATACTAGCGGAACGTCGACGTCGTAGTGCAAACAATAACACACCACACGACTCAGACCCTGAACTCGATATGATGCGTCAACATTTTAGCCAAATGAGGAATCGTGCACCAAGATTACCTGCACCCAGTCTAGACAGCCATCGCGGTGATGCATATAACCAAATCCGCCTTGGAGTGCAAGACATTGACTCGCAATCATTCGACTTCCCCTCGGCACCTTTCAAGCTAAAACACACGGATTTGGATGATCCACAAATGATCACATGTTCTCACTGCAACATTCTCAACTTTGGAAAGAAGAAAAGGATTAAATTGCTGCAACAAAGGCAAGTCGTGTATCCATCCTCTCCAATCTATCCCCCACCATCTTATGGCGCTGTTTGAAAGTACTAAATTCATTTCTGCTGGGATGGGAGGGCGGGATTTTCTAAACTGCCGCCGCTACTGCGTTAGGCGGCTGCTGCTGTCCTTCCGTTGCTTCACGCGCTCTGTAGCTGTCACACGTTACCCGACTTTGCTACAGCCCCTGCGTGGACTCGATCACGGAATGACACCCCCAACTATAGACTAATAATTCCAAACACCGTGACCCTGGGTTTCCGGTAGAAAATGAAGCCAAATTCTAATTCGACTGTTACAAAATAAACACCAGTTTATTCTATCTGCTTCGACGAACAAACCTTCCTTTTATTTTGTTTTCTTTCGAATTGCTTCATTATTTCTTCGGTTTCTAGGCTACGTGTTGGGGAGAGAGACGCACGAAACGCTCATCGTCTCTCCGGCCGCGTTAGCTGCAAAGGCCGGCGTCAACTCTTACAAATCCATCTCTCTCCCCACAAATACTAGCCGGGGGACTACGACTGCAAACGCAGGAGTCCCAAAACTGACCAAGTCCTCAAATGGTACACACCATTCTACAACACCCACATCGAGGTCAGTTTCTGGACGACTACCGAATAAGTCAACTATCCGTTCCCCCAGACGGTCCCCTCCCCCGGCTGTCTCGATACGATCCTACTGCCGTCTGTAAGTTTCCGTGACACTCGCCGCGAATCCTCTACATTGTTTCGCGCGTACGGCTTGTATGCATCCGACCTCCACTTCCCTTCTCTCTGAATCACTCGTTCTGCGATGTCTCCGCCCGATGCAAGAGCCGTCGCGCCTCCAATTCGCAACGAGTGCAACGCGTACTCCTGGGGGTTACGCCCCGACCTCGCTACCACTTCTCTGAGTGCACGGAGGGCAGCAGTATACCTCACTACTCTCACTGCTCTTCCACTACGGTACGAAGCCAACGGTGCGGAGTCAGGGAACGTCGCATGACACGATAACAGCTCCACCACAAGAGCCACCGCGCCACCGCGTGCTCTCACACCTGACTGCGGTCCGGTGACTTCGTCTCGCGTACGAACCCGTATGTTTCCTTTCTGCTCTTGATCGGCCTTGTGCCCTCTAAACCTCATTTCGACACGGTCTGCTCTACGATAGTGACTAAAGACTAATTGCGTCTCGCCAGCAAACAATGCTACGTCCGCCCTCGTAAGACAGTGTGCCTCATGCACCCTGCCCGCATCATTCGCGAACACCTCATCAGACCGTGTGATAAAGAGATAGGACAAGCACAGACACAGCCACATCACTCTGCCCCCTTCCCCCCAGTTCTGGCTTGCGCTTTCCCCGTCCAGCAGCATACGCCAAGACACAGGCAGGCGCACACGGCGTACCGTCCCCACAGCCACGTGGTTCCTCGCAATCCCCCTTAGCGCACATTTCAACATCGGAGACGACAAGTCTAGCTCGACAGAAGCTTCCAGCCTATGAAAATGTTGTACAGCCGTGAGTTTTCCGGATATTGTACTCGCTAGATTACCCTCAGACTCGAAACACCAGGCTACGAAGTCTATCAACTCCCACACATGAAGGTCCCCGGCACGTTGCCCTAGGAACTTGGGCTTCTCCGTCAGCCTGCGAAACGTGCACCAAGAGTTGAAGCCTGACGTGTAAGTCCTTCTAGACGAAGACGCAACTGAGTGCTCGACGAGCTGCATGCCAAGACGTCGGTAACAAAGTCCCGTCCTGCCTGTCCCAGGTCCTGAACCTGCTGATAGCCCTGGAGCCAACCTCGTGTAGACCGGCGTGCTGCCGTTCGATTTAGCCGCAGGTGCGCTGCCATCCGAGGTAGGCCCCCCCGCTACGCGGGAGAGCCCGCACCCCTATTTGTCTTTCCCGTGGGTGAAGAAGCCAGCGGCCTTGGGTCTCGCGCCGCCCTCGCCAGCGGCGCGCGCCTCTCCTCCGCGCCCTCCCCCGTTGCCGTGGCCAACGCCGCGCGCGCCGGTTGCCGGAGTTTCGGACGCTCCGCGCCTAGCGTGGGAAGGGTTCTGGGCGTGGATGTGTGGGCAGTTACGATCATGGCAACCGGACGACGAGTTGAAGGCGAAGCAGTAACCACGAGCGTGTCGAGCGATGCCGCCACTTTCTCTGTCACCAGGACGCCTTTGCGAAGCAAGGATTGCCACTCCATCTGCGACAGTTTTGAAACTGCCGGGGGCCGCCCCAGGATGAGCCACGCTTTTACCCGGCGGAGGTCCCCCCACATCCGCGCTCTATCCTTTGCCGTAGCCTTAGCCGCCTCGGCGCTGGGTGTAGCGGGGGCCCGAGAGGCCGATGGTGGGGCGGTTGTGCCCACAAGTTGCACCCCCCCTCCGGAAGGCCAGGTCCTGCTGCTTGGGTGGCGATCAGGTCGTCGATCGTTGCTTGAAGCTGCTGGCGATCACCGGCAGCCTCATCGCGCTTCCGCTGCAGCTCCTCCCTCAGGCCGTCCACCAGCCCGCGGAGAGAAGCGAGCTCAGTCTCATCAGCGGGGGGGTCGCCGCGGGTGCCTGTCCCTGGCGCTCGCGAGGAGGATACCGCTCGACGCCTCGCGGGAGTACGTGATCCGCTGCGCGTCGAGGGGCGAGCCGTCGAGCTCGCCACCGATCGCGCGGTAGACCTCTCGTGCGTGGTGTCGAAGGTGTCGCCGCCCGACCTCGCCCTGCTTGCCCAGCCGCTGCCCTGCCGCTCCGCGTGGAGGCCCGTGTCGGCATCTGGTCGCGGTTGGAGTCGTATAAGCAGCGGACCGGCGGCAGGCGGCGGGCGAGCGTCAGGGCGGCGTTGCGGGAACACTTCTTTTCCTCTTCATCGTGGGCGTAGTCGATCGCGCGCCTGGATCTGCAGTTAGAATGGTCTACAAATCCTATCTTCGGGCGAAACTATCTGACGTGGGTTTTCGTCGGGCCCAGAACGACGCGTTGTTATATCGCGAGCTCGCGTTAGTTCATTCTCGACGCCTGTGGATTGAATGGAGTGATTATTGCTGCTGACGCTACGGTCACCGGACGTCGACCAATCCCGAATATTTCTCTCTTTGGAACACTAGCGATGGTTTCTCTTTTTTTTTTTTTTATATATATATTTTCTTGGATTCGGTGAACCCCGGTTCGCCATCGGCACGGGTGCTTCCACTCATTGGCGCGTCCCGTGCTGATACGTGTTTTTTTTTTTTCGATGCGTTGGATACGGTGAACTCCACTTGCCAACAGCGCGGGTGCTTCCACTCATTGGCGCGTCCCTCGCTGAAACTGACAACACATATGCAGCACGGGTGCTTCCACTCATTGGCGCGACCCGCACTGATGATACTTGTACGCAGCGCGGGTGCTTCCACTCATTGGCGCGTCCCTTGCTGAAACTGACAACACATATGAGCACGGGTGCTTCCACTCATTGGCGCGTCCCGTACTGATACGTGTATGACTTCGTTTTCGATGCGTGGAGATCGGTTAATTCTACTCGCCCAACAGCACGGGTGCGCCCACTCATTGGCGCGTCCCGTACTGATACGTGTACGGCGTTTTTGTTCTTTCTTTTTGAGATCGGTTAACTCTACTCGCCAACAGCACTCATTGGCGCGTCCCTTGCTGAAACTGACAACACATATGCAGCACGGGTGCTTCCACTCATTGGCGCGTCCCGTACTGATACGTGTACGACTTCGTTTTCGATGCGTTGAATTCGGTTAACTCTACTCGCCAACAGCACAGGTGC